GCTCACCCCCACAGTATCTTTGAGCCCCGTCCTGTGGAAGTCGGTGTTCCCGCGTTAAATACCGTACACGCAGCATTTTTTTTCAACAAAACGCCGTAGCCAGTGCAGTTTGGCACCGGGCGGCACTTGCAAATCTCGTAATTTCCCCTTTTGCTCTTTCTTCCCTGAAACCGCATCAGTTGAAGACGTGATAAAATACCTGGACCCGCAGTACATCGATCGCATGGCCATCCCTGATGCCATGAAGCTGCAGTTCATCTTGGCAGGTACGTGATGAAGTTCGTGCCCGTTACAGACTTTTTTTTTTTTGTCAGTGGGTCGTTAGTGGCGAAAGGGAAGGAAACCTTTTCGTGCAATTTCTGATCGGGGGCTGAGAAAAGAAACGCTGTCTTTGGTGTCCGGTGCGTCCCAGCGCTGTGTTGCGGCTGCTGATCGGAGATGGATGAGCTGGGAGGAGAAAAGCAGTCCGCCGAGCATCCAGCGAGAGCTGGCCGTGCAGCCGGGGAGGGCGGCCTGCTCCTCTGTGGAGGTGCCTGCCCTTTTGCTGACGATCGAAGAGTAATGCTGCCCGGTCTGTCCTGGCCTGAGTCGGGAAGAAAGTGCTTGGGGCAAGGTGGGGATTAAATCTCTCTGCCTCGACGTCCAGCCCTGTGTAGCTGTGCGCAGGCAGGACCTGGGCCCTCCGGGAGCCCCTGATCCCAGTCACTTCAGTGGAGTTTCCCCTGATGCCCCCTAGTGCCAGGGAGATGGATTGAAAGCCCAAGACGTTGCTTTAGTTGAGGGAGCAAGAATGCCTGGTGCTTTTGAGGGCTTCCTCCTCCACCCGTGTATGGTTTAGTTTGAGGCAAGTCACCTTGACTGTGGCGGTAGGAATCTCCATCTGATAATGCCCCCCCAACCACACGCTGAAGTTTTCAGTTAGGGGCCTCTGCTTCCTGAAAGTTGCTCGGGTAACGATTATCACTGTGCTTAAAGGATTTAGGTGCAATTTGCAGTGACTTTCTTTCCCCCTTTCCTCCAAGCAACTCCTCTTTTCCTTGTGCCTCGAAGTTCAAGTAGTGTCTTGCTTCCTTGCATTTCCTCCTGTGTCTCTTTTTTCCATCAGAGGAGCAGTTCATCCTGTCCCAGGCAGCTCTGCTGGAGCAAGTGAGTAACCTCCAGCCGTTTCTGGACAGCGCCCACATCAAAGGTAATGCCCCTTCCCCCACAGCCGCCTTATGGTTGCAAGCTGCTTCGAGCAACGTCCATTTCCTTATGCCCTTGTGCCGAAAAGCGTATGGAAATGGTGTCTGCCTCATACCGAAAGGGAGCCATTAGCATAGTGACGGGCAATTATTTGGGCCTATGGGCCACATAGGCAGTTCTGGGGTACAGCCCTCTGTTGCTCAGTGTAGGCAGGTGAGTCCAGGGCAGGTGTGGGCCAGGGCGGGGCTGCGTGTGCAGGTTCTGGCTAGTCCAGAGCTGGTTCGCTCTGTCAGGCTGAGTCCAGAGTGGGCATGGGACAGGACGGGGGCAGGGCTGTGCGTGCGGGTCCCTGCCAGTACTAGAGGGCTGGGGCCAGCGACGGCAGCAGCCAGAAAGAACCACTGCTACCTGGGCTGCCTAGCTGCATGCCCAGGGAGCAGCAGGATCTGCTGGCTGTATTTTACCCATCCGTGCATTAGCAGGTCCAACATCTGAAGAGTTTGCAGCCAGCAGCATGCCTCAGTGCTGGGGAGCTAGTAATATTGGACTTACTAGGGAGTGAATTCACAGGCACTAGCTACTCTTTGGCTGCTATGCCCTGCCCTCCCTTGGAGACAAGCCCTGAGAAGGCTGCAGAGCCCAAAACAGTGCAGTGCCATCAGTTGCATGGCCACCATCCTCTGCAGCACAGGTCTGAGTGTACTGTCTTGGCCATGGTACCATCACTTGATGGTGAGGCTGAGTTCAAGTGGCCTAGAGCCCATGCACAGAGTACTTCTGTGCTGGTAACTGTCCCTGAGAAGTAGGAGCACACTCAGCTTGACTATTAGGGGGAGTAAAATGGAGGCCAAGACGGATGTCCTTTGTAACAACCCCTTGACTTACGTTGGGAAAAAGTAAAACAACCATGTCAGTGCCTGCTGGTAGGTAAAGGAATGAAAAATATGCCACGTATTTCCTATGTATGTACTGAGATTGCGGAAGCAATAGAGGGCAGACCAGGGGATGTTTTTTAGTTTGTCCTGATCCTCAAGCAAATGTCAAAATGTTTCTCTGTTAACTTGCAGCCCTTTAAATGGCAATAACAGGGCTGGATGGGTTGTGTTAGTGTGCTCTGAGCTGTTAAAAGCTTCCGTCTGATGCAGACATGTGTTAGGCAAAGCCCAAGATGAGGGTTAAATAGTCCCATTGATGCAGAGTATCTAGTTGAATTCTGTTCTCTGCTTTGCAGCGGTTCCTGAGCACGCGACCAAACTGCAGCGGCTCTCTCAAATCCACATACAGCAGCAGGTAGAGTGAATGCTTTTGGCCATCTTAGAATCACAGACATTGAGGGTTGAAGGGACCTCAGGGGTCACATCCAGTCCAACCCCCTGCTCACAGCAGGACCAGCCCCAACTACGTCATCTCAGACAAGGCTTTGTCTACCCGGGTCTTCAAAACCTCCAAGGATGGAGACCCCACCATCTCTCTGGGGAGCCTGTTCCAGTGCTTTACTACCCTATACATAGAGAGGTTTTTCTACGTATCTTGACCTCAACTTTCCTTTCTGCAACTGGAGCCCATTGCTCCTTGTTTTCTCATCTGCCTCCACTGAGAACAGTCCAGCTCCATCTTCTTTGCAACCCCTGCAGGGAGCTGAAGGGTCTTTGTCTTCAGCGAAAAAGGAGAGGTGGGGTGGGCTTCTGTTAAGCATGAGGGATGAAGAGCCCAGCTGGAGATGGCCTGTCTAGCTGGTTTGCATTATGGTTTTCAATTTTATCCAAATCCTGGCCCTGGCACTGACTTGGAAGAGATCCTGTCTGAGTGTGTCACCTGAACACACATAGCTTGAGGGGTGTTTTAGACTGCAGTGGACATAGCTTAGTGTTTCTGCTTCCCAGGGCAGAGAATTGAGGCACAGAAATGTATTGATTATAGGATTATACCTCCATTGCTCGAGATTGTAGGGGGCTGTTAGGAAGGCTAAGGCAGAACTAGGACTAGCGACCAGGATCAAAGATAACAAGTCCTTTTTTAAATACATAGGGAGTAAAAAGAAGGCACCAGGTAATGTGAGGCCCCTGCAGGACACACTTGGCAATCTGGTGGTTGCACCAGATGAGAAGCTGACCTCTTTAACAAATTCTTTGCCTCCATTTTTCTGAGCAGGGGACTGGGACATTTCTCCCCTCCCCCGGGATTCCAGACAGACCCAGGAGAGGCACAGACAGGCCTAGGGGCAGTGAGGGCCTAGTTAGGGAACTTCTGGTAGGACTAGATGTGTTCACATCAGCAGGTCCAGATGCTCTCCACCCCAGGGTGCTGAGGGAATTGGCAGGAGTCATTGCTGGACCCTTGGCGTGGCTTTACAAGCACTCGTGGTGCTCTGATGAGGTGCCAGAGGACTGGAAAAGGGTCAGTGTGGTCCCCATTTTCAAAAAAGGGAGGAAGGAGGACCCAGGTAACTATAGGCCCGTTAGTCTTACCTCGGTCCTGGGGAAGCTCTTTGAGAAAATTATCGAGGAGCACATGTGCAAGGGGCCAGCAGGGGAGATTACGCTCGGGGCAGCCAACACGGATTCATTAGGGGCAGGTCCTATCAGACCAACCTGGTGGCCTTTTACAGCCAGGTCACCAAATCCCTGGATGCAGGTGTAGCAGTGGATGTAGTCTCTTTGGACTTTAGGAAGGCCTTTGACACTGTCTCTCACCCAATTCTCATTAAAAAAAATTAGGCGACTGTGGCATTGATGCCTACACAGTCAGATGGGTTGAAACATGGCTAGAGGGCCACACCCAGAGAATGGTGGTGGACGGGTCTTTTTCAATCTGGAGGGATGTGGGCAGTGGGGTCCCCCAGGTCTTGATTCTTGGGCCCGTACTATTCAACATCTTTATCAGCAACTTGGACGGGGGGTGAAAAGCACCCTGTTCAGATTCGTGGATGACACTAAGATGTGGGGAGAGGTGGGCACGCTAGAAGGGAGGGACAGGCTACAACTAGATTTAGACAGGTTACAGGGGTGGGCAGATGAGAACAGGATGGGTTTCAACACTGACAAGTGCAAGGTGCTGCACCTGGGGGGGAAGGACCAGCAGCAGACCTACAGGCTGGGGAACTCCCTTCTCGTCAGCGCAGAGTCAAAAAGGGTCTTGGAGTCATTATTGATTCCGAAATGAACATGGGCCGCCAATATGGGAACGCGGTCAGGAAGGCCAACCGCACCTTGTCCTGCATCCACAGATGCATCACGAGCAGGTCCAAGGAGGAGATCCTCCCCCTCTATGTGACACTGGTCAGGCCGCAGTTGGAGTACTGCATCCAGTTCTGGATGCTGCACTTCAGGAGGGATGTGGACAGCATGGAGAGGGTCCAGGGGAGGCCACCCGCATGATCGGGGGACAACAGGGCAGGCCCTACGAGGAGAGGTGACGGGACCTGAACCTGTTCAGCCTCCACAAGAGAAGGCTGAGGGGGGACCTGGTGACTGTCTATAAACTCACCAGGGGGGACCAGAAGGGTTTGGGGGAGACCTTGTTTCCCCCAGCACCACCCCAGCGCCCCCCGGGATAACAAGGAATAACGGCCACAAGTTGTTGGAGAGCAGGTTCAGATTAGACCTCCGTAGGAACTAACCCTCCGGCTCCCTGCTGCCCCGGGCAAGCAGCCCCAGCGCCGTGGGCAGGGGGGGGCTGGAACG